ACAGGCACACATCAACAAGTTGTGAAACAAGAGCACATGGATCATGAAACAAGGATCATGTAGGAAATTTTAACAACCAAACCAACATCTCAAATTGATTTCATAATGACCTTCCTTGCAATTCTGCAGGGTTTGTTGTTCACTAGGTGGTTTCCTAAAAATTCCAAACTATTGCTAAAAACTCACCATAATATGGCTCAAACATCTCACTGGAGGCAGCAAAGAACTCCTCCAGTTTGAAGTCGTTTGGCCCCCTGATGGTGAGACCGAAGCCCTTGGCGTGCCACTTCTTCCTCCACAGGACGTACTCCGAGAACCCGCCCGGACCAGCACAGATGTCAGCAAAGTACAGCAAGTCATGGGCACCAACCATGGGCTCCTGTAAGGACAAACACTTGTGAGAGGAGTAAAGCACCAATTGGTAGCAGTCCTGATTATGACACACAAGGTCAGGGATTTGATCCAGACCTACACATGTAGTTCTGCATGCTAATGTTAGGGGCTGCAGTGAATGAGACTTTAAGCCAAAGGTCCTGGTTTTTAGTCAAAGCCAGAGCTAGTTATACAACCCACCACTACAAAGATGACCATCTACATAATGATACACCAACAATTACTCAGCAGACATAGATAAAACATGTGACATGCTCACCCCTTTGTCATTCTTGGGATCAGTGAACATGTAGTCAAACACATGGTCCATGTTAGCCATCTTCATGGCAGCTCTGGGGGTGAGAACAGAAATGACAAGTTCAGAAACAGTACAACAATACTGCCTCAGCATCCTGTTTTAGGGAAGAAGTGCTCACTTTTAGAACTCAACATTATACATGTAAGAAGGCAATCAGAAATGACAGATTTCACTCTCTCACCCACACGGCTTTATGACTCTTCTGTTCCCACAGACAAAAAAATCCCTGAAGATATACAATGTATGGCAATGCTGTATTGTCTATATTAGGAATCACACACATACACAGACAACCCCGAGACAACACTTCCTACCCATGGGGTAAAGTAAAACTTCAAGGCTGTACCTGTTCTGAAAGATGGCTCCCCTGATGGTCTCATAAGGGTTGGCCCTGGTTCTGGCATTCCTCATCTCTTGTCCTTCCAGGACATCAAACACACTCTGAACAAAACACAGAAAAATAGACTTTTATCTTATCAGAAGAAAGGCATGGAATCCTAAAATAGAAACGCAGATAACTGGAGGCTCTGTCTTATTGACATGCTTGTCCATTATTTACAATACAAACCCAAGACAATTACCGGTATGTTAACAACAACTATACTACTAGATACTCTTCCTACCTTACACTTCAGCAAGTCTAGCAAGATTTCTTCACCACAAAACTCCACTTCATCTTCAATCTGGTTCTTCCTCTGCAAAGGAGCAACAGAAAATTAATAAATGATGAAGAGGTAGAAAAAATAATGACCTTATTCTCATATGCTCTAAGTCACTGCTTCTTATCATAGAAAAATGAGCACTTGAATTTGTATGCAAGTTTTCCCCGAGGCATCATTATTCATATACTAGTATTTTCCTTCATAGAACAGACATTTGGAGTTAGAAAAGAAACTATTCTTCTTACAAGCTTAGCAGGAGTGACCTATTGACCCATCCTGAGACATCTGTTCTAAGTTCATTAAAAACAAAGATTCTTACTGTTCCCTCCAGGACCCAGTCCTGTAAGGTGTCTTTGCTTGGAACAGGATTCTTACAAGCAGGCAGCCACTCTGGCCTCTCATGGACAGAAGGCTGAGGGGAAAGGAACATGGAACGTGCATCAGAAATCACTATATAATAGTAGTGCTAAGAGTAAGAGAATGAAGATATTGAAAACACATTCAATCAACTCTGCCTTGACATGCAAAAATCTTAGTTCCAGTTGCCAATTTTGGTATATTTTTCTGTTCGTCCCATAATGGAACAACAAACAAACAAACAAATGTTTCTTTTGAAAGCTAGTATTAGTAGTAGCAGTACATGTACATACTGGTTCCTCGTCTGTCCAGTCGATGTCGATTTCTCCATCGAAGGCCTCCAGCTTGAGACCCAGACCGCGGCGCCCGCGCTGTGTGGATGCCTCCACGATGTCCTTCCGTCCCTGCCCATGCTTCCCCAGACCCTCCTCCTTCCTGTAACCCATCTTGGCCTGTACACAGAATCATGGGGGGAACTATCAACAATAATGAAATCCCTAACATCCATTCAGGAGAGTCTATTGCTACAAACTTTCTTTTAGGCCTCGTTCATGATTGAAATGTGTTCCGGTTTGGCCACGATCCGAATCGAAACGGAATATATTTTTGGCCATTTTTGCGTCCATGATTCAAAACTTGAACCCACACTGGAAACGGTTTCACACCTCGAATTGACTTGCATTTCATATGTATATCACAATTTCTTTGAATATTTCCTGAGAACCCGGCTCGTAAGGCGGAGAGTTTACGCCTGTCCGGGCGAGTGGTCGCTCGTTCCCGACTCATGTCCTCCCCATGGCATAGGCTGTGCCCCGGACGCATCTGGCGCGGGTCCGCCGCCCCAACGTCCCCGTTGGGCTACCACTCGCCCTCACGCCCAGGGTAGGTTCTAGTACACACCATCCAGTTTCCTCTGGATCTCCGGATTTACCCAAGTCAATATCGGAATTCGAAGTCCCGTTCCCTCAGTCGACCAGTAATTAGAACTCGATGTCAAGATTGTACGATTCAAGTAGAATTTTCGGCAGTACAAGCCACTGCGCCGC